GTAAATTAAAATTAATAATTATATACTTCCATGAGCCAAACAAGATTTTCTGAACAATATGGTCAATTGAATACACTTTTGCACAAGCAATTAATTTTGAGGATGTAGGTAGTAAATAAGTAAATTTTTAATCCTGCAGAACATAAATGCCTAAACATGTTTAGGCATTTATGTTCTACGTGGGTACCATATGCCTTTTACCAATCTAAGCAAAATATATAAATTGTTTTACTTCAATTTTTAATTTTCCCTTACATTTTATTCTGTAAAAAATAGGGACGGCAACTTGCACCTTTGCCGAAATGTAGATCCGATCCTGGTTATAAAAAACCATTTCTACCTTTCAATTCTAGAAAATTAATTACTAAGTCATTTGGAACAATATTTGGTTATTAATAGTATAAGTTTGATAAACCCCATTTTATACACGAATTTAATTTAGACACGAGCGAGCTTGCGAGCGAGTGCTTAAGTTAATGAGTGTATAGAAAAGTTTATAAACGAGGTGCATACTATACTTTTTCTACGACAAATACTTATTATTATCTTAAACTGATTTAAATCAAAAATTTGTATAGAGCGCCATCTATGAAACAAAGACAGGGAACCTGTCAAATGTCAAATTTTTACATTTTATAAACACAATTATAAAGGTTATAAATCGAAATGTATCTTAAAAATTAACAGTTTTTCACAGTGAAAGTAAAGGAAATGTTTTATGAGGACTTTACAGTAGAGTCCGTGCCCGAATTTAAGTTATAGTTTACTGCCGGCGAAATTAAAAGGTCAGTACAATGTTCATATAAACTTTTCAAATATTGGCGTTGAGAAACTATTTAATATTTGTTTATTTTTGTATTGAGATAATAAAATAATTTTCACATTTAGTATTATTTTACAAGAAAGGGACTTTATTTTAACGATTGTATGACATTTGACAACTGTCAAATAACTTAAAACTAACTTCAGCCTGTGACTAAAAACCTGTTGCTAACTTCAGCCCGTGACTAAAGCGCCGTAAAGCCACAACTTGTCAATGTGTATTTAAAAGGTCACTTAGTGTCATGGAAACATGTACGATAAAGGGCGTTTTAAAGTTGGGAGTAGAAAAAATTCTTTATACCTCATAAAAATTAAAAAAAACAACATTGCATGCTATTTGACAACGCGCATCACGTCATTATGATCAGACACTGTAGTGCATGATATAAATAACCTAAATTATACTGTCAGTAGATTTACTACCATGTTTGATAATAACAGAAGATCGTAGAATTGAGGTTAGGTATTTGTCACTGACTTTTTTTAAAGATTGTAACCGTACTGGTTTACGCTCGATTAACAAAGTAAACATTGTATAATTTAATTGGTCTAAAATTACGCCAGACGACAAAAGACTAAAATATTTCTTTGGCATAATTTTAAAATCAGCAGCCCTTTAATACATAGATAAATGCTTGCGCAAAAATGACAAAAATCTGACTAGTTTCTAAAATGTGGGAAATAAAGAACTCCCATGATAAAAAAACTTATAAAACTATAGGTGCTCTAAAAACATCTTGGGAAGTAATGGTTACTAAAACTCTGTAGAAACATTAAATGTAGATCACCTTCGTTAATCTTAAAATACTGGCAGATTAGATTTGGTTCACAAAAAAAACGCGATGATAAATCGTCGCGTACGAATATCGTAGGAAATTTGAGATGCGCAGGCATTAAGTACACAGGGAATACATGCAAAAAGGTTCGCCTGGCTCTGCGTCGATACGAATTTTAACCGCTAATTTACTAGAGGAAGCTCACCAATAATTCAGGTTTATGGATAGAGAAAATTACATGACCCACCTGGCTCATAATTGCGTGATACGCTATCTAGTAGTAATTAATATTGCCTTTTATCTCGTTTTAGACGTTCTCTTCATTTTGGCCTTTTTCCAGTTACCTAAAATTGCTGTCTGCATATTGAACGATATAGTTTATTAACATCATTAAAATTTTGCTTTACCATGTTTTAACTATTAATGTTTAATAATGACCATACGCTTTTATAAAAAATATTAGTGGATTAAGAATTTTTAAAAAAATCGCCTGGGCTTGTCAATATCTGATGTATTAATTAAGAAATTGATTTATTTCAATATAAATAGGCATATTTATGTTTTGTTTTTAAGTTAAATATTTTTTCTTTCTTTATATTTTAATTAAATATTAGGTTTATGTAGTATTAAAAATCAATCCTTCATATTTTATACAAACGTCCTCATTATTACTAAAACAAAAGTTATACAGAAGACAAAATTTATTATATTTTTTTATTCTAATTTACTGAAATTAACTTCATTTAAATTATTATTGGCGGCTCATCAGAAGAATCAAGGAAGGCAATTGCAGATTTATAAATAGGATAGCAAAATTTTGTAGGCGTCAAATTTTTGTAGGCGGAATTTTTTTCCGTGGCCCCTGACAACAAAGTATAAAATTTGCCGAATTTCTTATCTTTCCACTCGGTTCTCACTAATATGCCGCACGGCAAATACTAATACAAAATACTTAAAAGTCTAAGGAATCGGCTGAACCCACGTAGAGGAGACAAAGAACATCATCCAACACTTAACGTTCAAAAAAAAAAATAAGAATAGGACGACACTACAACAATATAATGCCATATATTGCGATTTGGTCTCCTCGAAAATTTTCGAGGCTGGATGGTCTATCAAAATCTATACAGTTACTAAAATTGGCATTTTCACTTTTGTCAAGATCTAATACGGCCTTTTACATGCATAAATCATTCATTCAGGTAAGGAATATTAATTCTCAAGTTGTATTTATCATCAAATATCATAATATAAAAAGCTAAAAGACACCACTGGAAAATGTCTCTATTTTTAAGTTTATAGAAAAAAATCTCAATTTTTAACGTGAATTCGCAGACTCAAGATAAAGTAGGATTCCAGGATTTCTTTCCTACTAATTTTTTCTATGAAACCTGATAGTTTTAAATCACAAGTGAATATTAAAATCCTGCCAATCACTGATGCCTAACAACGTAAATAATGAGTTTATTATTCCCGTGGTTAGACGAAGCGGTTATAATGCTTTCCATTAGTGGTAGAGCAGTGGGTAATTTTTTATCCATCTGAACTTTGCCCAGATATGTAAATTTTGTAGACTTAATAATGTAAAAAATTAATAAAGACATTTAAAATTATTATTATTTTATACGAAAAATCCCCAAATAATTTAAATAATATGCAATGGGATGATTAAAATATTTATATTTTATTTTGACTTTTCTACTATTGGTATTAACCATATCGATGCCTGTATTTGAATGCAAGGTTTTAATTTAATTCTACAAATTGTTTTGTTCGCAGGATTTGGGCTCATTTATATATTTATTTAAACCTTTGTTCTGTGTGCATTTAATAAACACTCGTCCTTTGCTGAAATTTTACATTTATTAAAATTTGTAATTTAATTTTCCCTTTAATACCTAATCAATTATTAATTTTTCAATTTCATTTACTATTGGATTAAAAATTTATCTTTTAAAAATGTGCATGATGTTAACAATGAGTAACAGTTATTCTGCAGTTTTTAAATTATTTTAGAACCTATATCATATTTTTTGATACATTTTTTGGCAGTTAGGGAGGGGATCTATTTAAATGGCTTTTAAATAAAACTAACTTGGTAGCCCAACAATTTTTTAAACAATCCCTTTTATTCTTGTATCCACGATTTTTTCTAATATGCTTCATAATCCTGTTTAACAATCGTAAAACTTTTTCTTGTTCGCTATGAGTTTTCAACATTGTAATTACATACCTACATACATACATACTATTTTCCTTTTTAGGAGGACTACGAAGTGTGTTCAGAAAATAACGGGACTTGTTAAATTTCGCGGGTTCGGAGGGTCCGGTTCTCATAAAATTGTCCTTATTATGTTGGTATACATACCCCTGAAGAATGAAATTTTAAATGTTTTCATTGTTTACTATGTCTGTGGCAGCCGCTAAGGTTAGACGTGTTTTTATGAGCTCGGCGATTTTCGTTCGTTAAAAGAAATGGATCAAAGAATTTGTATCAAATTTTGGGTAAAAAATGAAATAAAGTGTGTGAAATGTTAAGAAAGGCTTATGGTGAGTCTGGTATGAGTAAAACAAGAGTTTATAAATGATATATGAGTTTCCAAGATGGCCGTAAAGACGTTGAAGATGACGAACGCCCCAGACGCCCAAGCACATTAACAACCGATAAAAACATGGAAAAAGTGGAAAAAATGGTTATGAACGATCACCGAATCACAATTAGAGAAGTCGCTGATGATGTTGGCATATCGATGAAATTTTTTCTAATGTTTTGGGTATGAAACGCGTGGCAGCCAAATTTGTTCCAAAATTGTTGAATTTTAAACACAATTTTTTGCCAAAAACAATACTTGAATGATGCCCCAGCCTACATATTCGCTAGTCATTGCACCGATTGACTTTTTCCTATTCCCTAAAATAAAGAGAACCTTAAAGGGCCGTCGTTTTGCAAGCATAAATGACATTAAAAGCGCATCGCTGAAAGAACTAAAGACTATCCCAAAGATCGTATTTGAGAATAGTTTAGAGGATTAGAAGAAGCGCTGGCACAAGTGCATAATATCTAATGTGGACTATTTTGAAGACGACAACTTTAATGCAGACGAATAAATAAATACTTTTTTCAAAAAACGAAAATTCTCGTTATTTTCTGAACACACCTCGTATACATTTTCATTTATAGATAACAAAACAATTACAATCCTTCACACATTTTATGAAAAATGGTTTCCTTTAGATTGTGACCGGGCAATATATCAACGACCGATGGGCCTTAAAGGCGTTAAAAGAGGGTTAGATGGCATTAATACGTCATCTTACGTGAAGGTACAAGGATACATTATGTCCGGGTAGCATAAACAAGTTTGCATTTAACGGAAATATTGCAATAAATTACTACGAACACCGAACCTATTCTAAACTGGATAAATAAAATTTAAAAACACCGTAAAATATATTTACCCACTTTACATCGATAAAAGAAATAATTTTTCTGCTATCAAAATTAGAGGGCTTATTAGTTTATATCGGTTTAAACATTATAAAACAACAATTTATAAAACCTTAGGAATTGTAAATAAAACAAGAACACTCATATATTTAGTTTTGATCCACTAAAGCCTTTAGATCTCGACTTTTAATTTTACCAGTTGGGGTTAAAGGTAGTTCTTTTACAATTTTTATGCCACCTCTGAGCCTTTTGTAATCCTCTACTTTGGAATCAACAAAATTTCTTATTTCCTCTGAAGTGGCTTGTGCATTTTCTTCTAAAACAACTACGGCAGTAACGTGATTTTGATCTATTGGATGCGGGTAACCAAAAACAGCAGCACTTTTAACAGCAGGGTGTTTTATAACGATTTCTTCAATGATGGATGAAGAAATTCTAGGAAAATTTTTGTATGTAAATATTCCTTTTAGTCTATCGACGATGTAAAAACATTTATCTTCATCGTAGTAACCAATATCTCCTGTTCTGAAATAGCCGTCTTCTTCAAAACAATTCATTGAATCCATTTTATAATAACCATTAAAGCATCTTTCACCTTTCATCAAAATTTCACCGCTTTTGTTTGGACCTAAAATTTCGTTTGTGTCCAGATCAACTATCTAAAAATGTATAATTTATATAAATGTATTATTCTGTCCCACAAACAAATGTGGCAATGAAACATTATGCAATGCATAACACTGTGCGACAGTAAAAATCTCAGATAAAATCTATTCACCCCAAAAACATATTTCTTGAAGAATTTCGTTCCATTAGTTGGCGTTTTAAAGTAATTGTTATTTAAACAAAAAAATATAGTGAGCGGCAAAAGTACGGAACAAATTCATTTAAAAATTAACTTTTTATTTATTTTATTTATTTATTTTATTCCTTGAACACGTCACGTATTAATCATTAAAAGTAGAAAATTTATAGTTTTTTCGACAAAACTAAACAACTAACTTAAAATTACAAATTTACAAATTCGTTAGCAGATTTTGCTTTTAAAATATAAGAAAAACCGAAGAACAATATACAGAATGATGAATTTTCATTCAAAGCGTTTCTTCTTAGCTTCTTTATTTTCATTTAAATGCTCCTCGCTTTCATCGGAATCGTCATTGCTCCAAGAAAAATTTGTCAATTGTTTCTCAAAAAAGTCCAGGTGCTTGTGGAGGAAATGCATCTTTAAAGACATATTGACTCCTAAAAAATATTTATTTGAAATTTTTATTTCGTCATCAAAATTATCTGAAATCGAATAGAGTATTTGAGTGTCTTTATCAACTCCGACTGTTTCATATGCTTTTAACAATTCGTTTATATTCTCTCGATAATTGTCAGATCTGTGTTTCCCCAAAAAATTCTGAATCACACTCTTGGTCGCGGTCCACGCCTTCAACTCCGCTTTGGTTAAATAATTATCGAACATATCGGCACTTTTAATAAGTTTTCGAATGTCTGGGCCATTTAAAACTCCTGGAAAATAATGATACGATACAATTTGTAGTGAAATTGAAAGAAAGTAGGTTAAATAGTGCTTTTACTATTTGTGAAATGTAGAACAAAAGTCAACAGCTCTGGAAAATATATTATTTAAAAATAAAGTTGTTTCTTTACCTTCTTTTAGTTTAGCATCGCTTAGTTTTGTAAAGATTTTCTTTAAGCATTAAAGCATTTCCGGCCTTCGCTTGACAATCGCTTTAATGAGAGTTTTCACTATTCCCAATTTAACATGCAAAGGAGGCAATAAAACTTTACTCTGAGGAATGAGTGGGCAACGGATTTGGTTGTGCCTTGCAATCCCACTCATCATGTGGTTTCTAGGCTCTCAGTCATATTTTGCGTATTGGTTCTCTTTATACCGAGTGTCCCAAAGACAGAAAAAGCACATGTGTTTTTTATATCCTTCCTGTAATCCGCATAGTGTCGATAAAACTTTAAGGTCGCAGGAATTTTTCCACCGATGTTCATCGTATTTGATAGTTACCAAAATAGTCTTAAACGATTCGTACGATTCCTTCATAGTAGTGCTGTAGGTTTCTTATTTAATTTGTGCAGAAGAACCACTTTCAAACTTGAAGTCGATGAATCCATAAACAAACGCCAATCAGTGCTTTTATATTGAATATCTATTGCTTTCATTAACTTTTCAATGTCATGACAGTACGTAAATGTATTTTCGTCATTCACCGTGTAGTGTTTTTGAAAATACTCTTGCCGTTTGCGATAACTTGTGACTTTCACACCAAAAGCCAAGTTGTTGTCTTGTTTTAAAAAAGTTGCAAGTTGCTCTGATCCTCGATGCGACAAATTCGAAACTGCTACCATTTTATCCAATAGTTCCTGCGAAACGGGAATTGGATCCTTTGACGAAGATGGTTCTGGTTCAAAGTCTGGATCATCATGATCATCATTGGCTGCGACAGATACTGTAAACACAGAGTTGGCTTTTCCTGGGTTCTTGACAAAGGTGATGTACTTTGGCGGAACTGGGACGGTTTCAGAATGATCCAAAGGAAGCTGGGCTGACTTTTTCATGTTATCCCCCATACACCCATTTACACAGACCTAACAGTTGTTACTGTCATGTGCCCCGGATCAGTCCATATCATTGGCACGCCAAAATTCTTTTGATTTCTTGTTCCTTTTTTTCATTCTAGCAAATGTGTATAGCAAAAATAACTAAGAGAATTTAGGGCCCACGTAACATTGAAGAATATCGTATGAGAGAAATATTTTTCATATATTTCTAATATGCTACTCGATTTCATGTAAATACGGCTGCTACTTCTTGTAAATTTTCCACAGACTTAACAAATGTGTATGAAATGATTTCGCACTGATAATAGCTAACGTTTTTAAGTACAAGGAGAAAAAGTATTAAATTAACAGTTTTTGCACATTTAATATAAACAATCTATACTGGTAATTAAAATCTCATTCATTAAATAAAAATTTATTTTGAAATCTTTTTATAAATATTTTGAGAAATTTTATGAACTTTTCTGAAATAACAACTTTTTAATTTTGTTTAAACATTAAAAAACTAAGAATTGTACACTTTTAATAATTAATATGTCCGAAACTGTCAGCCCATATGGTATATGAATCAGAATTTCATAATCTATTCGAATCTGCAAAAAAAGTGTACAATGGGGTACAATTTAAAAAAATGGTCGATGACGTCATTGCTTCTACAAATATGTTGAAAAATCTGAAAATTTTACATCTTAATGTGCGGAATTAAAAAACAAAATCGACGTGTTCAAGGATTTTTTTTTTGAAAATAAAAAAGAAATTTTGTTTAAATAACAATTACTTGGAAACGCAAACTAATCGAAGAAAATCCTTCAGGGAATATGTGTTTGGGAAGGCATTCTTCCATAATTAGTGAACAGATTTCGTCTGAGAAAGTTTGACCCTTATTTTGTGGCACAGTGTAATATGCAGTGTAGTTAAATTAAACTCGTAGCATTATTGAATACGATGTGAAAAATTAAATAAAAATTATACACACTCTTGAAGGTTAAGTTTTCTTTAAAATTTAATTCCAAATATGTGAAGAATGTTTAAAATCATATTTTTGTAAGTAGGTACCCAGAAAAAAAGAAATTATTTATTTAACTATATATTATATTTAGTTAACCCGTATTTATTTGAATCAACTGTGGGAATGTTAAGATAAAGATTAGCTTGACAGTACTAAACCAGATAGTGATTATATTTTTTTAAATTGATTGAATTAATCCAGACCACATATGAGTTAAACCACGGCGTTCTCTAGAGAGAACGCCGTGGTTAAACCTACCCGCTGTATGGTTTGGTTTACTAAATATATTTTTTGTAAAATAAGAGTTACTTCAACCTAAAGCACTTTGTTAAAAGGATTCAATATTAAGTAGCTTTAACAAAAATGTTTCTACTCCAAATTTATGTTAATTTTAAAACATTTTATTTTTTTTGTTAGTTGTATAAATGCACCAAACGCTAAGGGTTGGGTTGTACCAAGGCAGGTTAAGTTTAAACCTAGTTAGGTTATTTAGCTATATAAATATTTGTTAATCAAATAAAATGTTGTAAAATATAAATGAAATTTTTAAAATAACCAACAGATTTAGTTAAATAAAAGCAATAAATGTTGACTTAACAACCGAGCATATAAGCTGAGGGAGTAATTTGTTTTGATTGTGTTCCACTACACCAAGTTGCCCGACACTGATGAGACCCAATAAAGGTCGAAACAGCTGTCTGTCGGTATTTGAAGTTGGTGGAACGCATTCAAAACAAAAAACTTTGGCGAGGTGTAGGTTCAATTTTTTCTTATATTCTTATGAATATTACCAGTGATGGGTCAAGAAAGTTTCTTAAAGAAACTAAGAAAATTGAATATTTACCTTAATGTTTAACCCGTTTGGGTTAATTCTAGATTCCTTTAGGCCATATTAGTATCTGTGATACAATTGCTGTGTGCAGTCCCGGTTGCATAGTATGTACCGATTGCAGCAAAGGCCACGTCGTTTGACGGTGTGGATCACCTGATGTTCTTACATCTCGCCTCTGTTGACTTAACAACCGAGCATATAAGCTGAGGGAGTAATTTGTTTTGATTGTGTTCCACTACACCAAGTTGCCCGACACTGATGAGACCCAATAAAGGTCGAAACAGCTGTCTGTCGGTATTTGAAGTTGGTGGAACGCATTCAAAACAAAAAACTTTGGCGAGGTGTAGGTTCAATTTTTTCTTATATTCTTATGAATATTACCAGTGATGGGTCAAGAAAGTTTCTTAAAGAAACTAAGAAAATTGAATATTTACCTTAATGTTTAGCCCGTTTGGGTTAATTCTAGATTCCTTTAGGCCATATTAGTATCTGTGATACAATTGCTGTGTGCAGTCCCGGTTGCATAGTATGTACCGATTGCAGCAAAGGCCACGTCGTTTGACGGTGTGGATCACCTGATGTTCTTACATCTCGCCTCTGTTGACTTAACAACCGAGCATATAAGCTGAGGGAGTAATTTGTTTTGATTGTGTTCCACTACACCAAGTTGCCCGACACTGATGAGACCCAATAAAGGTCGAAACAGCTGTCTGTCGGTATTTGAAGTTGGTGGAACGCATTCAAAACAAAAAACTTTGGCGAGGTGTAGGTTCAATTTTTTCTTATATTCTTATGAATATTACCAGTGATGGGTCAAGAAAGTTTCTTAAAGAAACTAAGAAAATTGAATATTTACCTTAATGTTTAGCCCGTTTGGGTTAATTCTAGATTCCTTTAGGCCATATTAGTATCTGTGATACAATTGCTGTGTGCAGTCCCGGTTGCATAGTATGTACCGATTGCAGCAAAGGCCACGTCGTTTGACGGTGTGGATCACCTGATGTTCTTACATCTCGCCTCTGTTGACTTAACAACCGAGCATATAAGCTGAGGGAGTAATTTGTTTTGATTGTGTTCCACTACACCAAGTTGCCCGACACTGATGAGACCCAATAAAGGTCGAAACAGCTGTCTGTCGGTATTTGAAGTTGGTGGAACGCATTCAAAACAAAAAACTTTGGCGAGGTGTAGGTTCAATTTTTTCTTATATTCTTATGAATATTACCAGTGATGGGTCAAGAAAGTTTCTTAAAGAAACTAAGAAAATTGAATATTTACAATAATAGTTAGGCTAACTAAACCATTTTGTATGTGTATATATCATAATATGATATTATGTATGTAACAAAACAGGTTAATTTGGTAAATTATTGTTTAATAAAACCAATAAAATCGTAAAATTTAAGTTTCATTGGTGGACCTATTTTTATATTTTCACTAGTCGAACTATGTTAAAATGGTTTGTCTGCAGCGTCTGCTTATTTTGTCCATTCTTTTCAGGCATTTAATTCCACTTGAGTTTGGGACCAAATATTTATATGTATTTGTGGATTTATTAATTTTTTGTCACCTTAAATATTTAATATTTACCTTAACACTAAGTCCTCTTGTAACCATGCCAACAGAATTAAGTTTTTCATTTATGTATTTTCGTTGTGTTTTATCACGGATATCATATAAAATGGTACCACCGTTGAATTCAGTTTGACCAAATCTTGACATTACAGTAGATAATGGATGAACCATTTTTCTAACAGCAACCATACATTCTGCCTTTGCGTGAAAGCCACATACCACTATTAAACATAAACTATCTATGTTAAGGTGTTCTGGTTTCGGATATTTGCTTAATTCTATTAGAGAATATGGTAATATGAATGTATAGTTAGCCTAAAAAGTATAGTTTGTGTATATTTTGAAAGTTAATACAAAACCAAGCAAATTTATTTATATATTTTTTGGTGAACAACCAGAAAGGAATTAATTAACTCTGAAAACTACTAAACTGATTTTATTGTAAAAAATTACAAAACAAGAACCGACAGGTTACCGCGTAACTTCAGTAACCATTTTATTGTACACCTAGCAATATGTTATATTGCTGGTATACAATGGGAAACACATGGGAAATTTTGAACGACTTATTATTCCGTTGACATCAAAATCTAAAAATGCTTTAATGGACAACTAACCATCCTTCGTATCACTATTCTTGTCATTTTGACAGCAAAAGCAAAAAATGGTCATTATTGTATTGTATTTACAAAATTACCCAAGGACTACCTGATATTTGAAATTTTGGGTCCACCACTGTACAAAACTACAAACTTGTTGAAACTATAAAAAGCACATAATATTATTATGCCGAGGCGATAGCCGATGCAGTAGATTGTGTGCAAAGCAAATAATAAGCTTTTCCCGCCGTGTTTTATGTACAATGTTTTTGTCAAGCATTTAATAAAATAATATTTTATTATTTTGTCACAACATTTTTAGGTTGTTTAACTGACATTTCAGCTTTATTTCTGTATCGAAATTATTAATAATTTGACTTTTGAATTAGTATGTATATGAAGTATTTCTATATACACTTATGGGTCTAATAATATAAAAATTATTGCACGCTTGAAACAAAACTTACTATGTATGATACAATAATTATTAGGGTGGCCCAAGAAAATCTGTTTAACAGTCTCCATAAATACAAGTTAGTTTATCATGTTTTAAAAGCTCCTTTTAAAAACCAGCTCGATATTATTATATAAAATTAACCCACATAATAAATTCAATACTATTTTTAATTTAAGTTTTAATATTTATTTTTATAGGTCGCTTCGAATATTGACTGTTTTTTTTTATTTTTAACATTCGTAAGCGACCCCTAAAAAAATAAATTTAACTCATTTCTAAATAGAGCTCTTAAAACATTATTAACTATCAAATTTTTATAGGGGACTCTAAAAAACAATCTATTTTGGGGCCACCCTAATTATATTTATAACATTTTTATTTCAAGATTATTTTGACAATCAATATTATTTAATTTTAAAAATTGAATGATTACGTAACCTTACATTCAATTACTTGTTGACTTACTTTATACTTATTTACAATTTCCCAGAACTTAAGGGCCTCAAATTTTTCAACCAAAATCCGAGTATTCCCTTCATGAATCCACTTGGATATTTCTGAAGATATCCAGTAAAGAGGTTGATAGTCTAAGAACCGACATCCATTTGAATATTGTTTTTTTAAATGAGCTAAAGCTTCTATATCAGGGTCACTTGGATCGAAGCAAACAACTGACGCCAACATAGCATAATGACTGAGACAAATAGCTTTTGGTAGTCCAGTGGCACCACTACTATAATATATTATAGCTGTATTTTTTATGTTGTCTATTTTCACTGGTTCAAACTTTTCTTCGCCAGGTTGAAGTTTGATTATTTCGGAAAAGCTAAAGCCTTCTTCGCAATCATCAAACACAATAAATTTTACACCCAATTTTATATCAAGTAAATATTTTTTTAAAAATGTTAAACACTTGGAATCCGTAAAAATTATCTTCGGTTCCATACTTTTCAGTATGCTTTTAATATCATTTTCTGGGTAATCATATGCCACGCAAGTTGGAATGGCTCCAATAAAATGACTAGAAATAAAAGAAACAACACTATGAACATGTTTTGGCCCAATAAGTGCTATGACATCATCCTTTTTAATCCCAATTTTTTGCAAAAACATTGATGTTCTTATGCATCTTTTTAACAAGGACTCGTAAGAATCATTTTCGCCAGTTTTTTCTACAATCTAAAAAATAATTATCAACAACCTGAAATATAATAATAATTAGGTTTTATATTTACCTGTGCTATTTTATTTTGTGAAGCATATTGTTTTATTTTGTTAAAATAATAATATCCAATTCCTATAAAATCATTGGGGAGAATAACGTCTCCAGTTGTAATTATGTTTTGGTTCATTTTTACGAAGTATTAAAAATATAGTTGTTACAAAAAATATGAATTTGACTAATACAAAAGAATTACAAATTAGTACGATATTTATAATTTTAATAGGATTCTTTAAATTCATAGATAAGATTGTTTAAAATTGGTTAATTTGTTATTTTAAGAATTAATTTATGAAGTTCAATGCCTCGTTAAAAGTTATCATTGACGTTTTTTTACACAAACACGTGTCAATTTTATTAAATTTTTACCTTTAAACGAAACATATTTTAAGCTAAGAAAAAGTTATCTGCTTACAGTAAAGCTTGGATCCTCATAAAAAATAAGCATCGATGTCGCCTTCGTGTCATAATCCATAACAAACAGTTAATGTATCGCTTGTGGATTAGATTCCAATAACAAAAATTTGTACAGCAAATGTCTTCTTTTTGGTCGCCCTGATTTTTTTAGATTAATAATGCAGTGTAATAAGAATAGATAAATACTATTCTACTTTCTTAAAAGAACTATACATTTTTATTTATAAATTTTAAAACAATTACAATCCTACATCAACATGATAAAAAATAGTTTCCTTAAGATTGTGACCGAGCAATTTGTTAAAGATCGATGGGTTTTAAATGCCTTAAAAAAGGTTAGATTGCATTATTACGTCATTTATTTCGAAGGTACAAGGATACATTATGTCCGGGTAGCAAAAACACTTTTGCATCTAGCGGAAATTTTGCAATAAATTAATACGAACACCGTTCTGTATACATAAAATTGAAAATATATTTTTTCTACGACCACTATGTAAAAGTCACTTTTCATGATGGCATCGTTGCTTAGAAAATGAATCTTTTCATTGGCAAGGCAAAACACGAATGTAAAGTGACATTTCTGTGTGAAAAGTGACAGGTCTGTGTGAAAAGAACCGGAAAGCAACGTTTGACATTCAGCTGTCAAAAAAGTTTTTAGGTTATTTTGTTTTGTATTAAAAAATAATAAAAAATAAAGAGTCGCAGAAAAAACATTGTGTTATACTTGTGATAAAAGCTTTCTTCAAGCTCGTGTTAATGCCTAACTGCCTCGTGGGCAACTTAAAAACTCGCATGAAAAAGTCGCTTTTCAACACTTGTAAAACAAATAACTATTTCTACGACCACTATGTAAAAGTCACTTTTCATGATGGCATCGTTGCTTAGAAAATGAATCTTTTCATTGGCAAGGCAAAACACGAATGTAAAGTGACATTTCTGTGTGAAAAGTAACAGGTCTGTGTGAAAAGAAACGGAAAGCATCGTTTGACATTTAGCTGTCAAAAAAGTTTTTAGGTTATTTTGTTTTGTTTAAAAATAATAAAAAGGGTCGCAGAAAAAACATTGTGTTATACTTGTGAGAAAAGCTTTCTTTAAGCTCGTGTTATTGCACACTCGGCCTAACGGCCTCGTGGGCAACTTAAATACTCGCATGAAAAAGTCGCTTTTCAACACTTGTAAAGCAAATAACTATTACCCACATTACCAATAACCAATAAATTTCGTGCTATTAAAATTAAAGCGCTTATTACTTTCATGACAGTTTTAACATACAACCATTATAGAAAAACAATTCATATAACCTTAGGAAATGTAAATAAAACAAGTATACTTATTTAAATATTTAATGTTCATCCACTAAAGCCTTTAGATCTCCACTTTTGATTTTACCAGTTGGAAAACAATTCATATAACCTTAGGAAATGTAAATAAAACAAGTATACCAGTTGAAAAACAATTCATATAACCTTAGGAAATGTAAATAAAACAAGTATACTTATTTAAATATTTAATGTTCATCCACTAAAGCCTTTAGATCTCCACTTTTGATTTTACCAGTTGGAGTTAAAGGTAGTTTTTTTACAATTTTTACACCACCTCTGAGCCTTTTGTAATCCTCTACTTTTGAGTCAACAAAATTTCTTATTTCCTCTGGAGTTGCATGTGCATTTTCTTCTAAAACGACCACAGCAGTGACATGATTTTTATCTATTGGATGCGGGTAACCAAAAACAGCAGCACGTTTAACAGCAGGGTGTTTCATAAAGACTTTTTCAATGTCTAATGAAGCAATTTTCGGAAATTTACTGTATTTAAATATTCCTTTTAATCTATCGACGACGTAAAAACATTTATCTTCATCGTAGTAACCAATATCCCCTGTTCTAAAATAACCGTCTTCATCAAAACAATCCTTTGAATCCATTTTATAATAACCATTAAAGCATCTTTCACCTTTCATCAAAATTTCACCGCTTTTGTTTGGACCTAAAATTTCGTTTGTGTCCAGGTCAACTATCTAAAAATGTATAATTTGTATATTACAAAGGTATTTTATTAAATATTTTGTCATAATATAACTGCAGTCTTTTATCAAGAATATAAAGCAACATGCCAGTGAAAGTTTATAGTTACAACTTTTGTGAAATATAAGATATAAGTAGTTTAAAAAAAAATGAGCGTGGCTAGATGGCGAGTTCAGAATCGGCCATTCTCCACGAGTAGCACATATTATTGTGTCCCACAATCAAACGTGGTAACCTAAACCCGTTGCATTTTTAAATACGATGTAAAAATTAAATTAAAATCATACACACTTTTGTAGGTTAAGTTTTCTTACATTCTTTTTTTACAGCTTTTTTGATTATTTGCATTTAAGTGTATATCATATTCTGTATGTAAAAAAATTGTTAATTTTTTAAATTATTGTCTACAATTGTTAATAAAACCAATATCATCTTAACAATCTTCAAGTTTTATTATTGGAACTATCTTCATAATTTCACTGGTGGAACCATGTTAAAATTGTTTAACTGTTCCCAGTGTCGGCCCTTTTTGTTTACAATTTTTTTTGCATACAATGTGAGTGTGGGACAAAATATTTATATTATTTGTTAACATATTTTTTTTTACCTAATATAACTAATATCGTTACCTTAACACTAAGTCCTCTTGTAACCATACCAACAGAATTAAGTTTTTCATTTATGTATTTTCGTTGTGTTTTATCACGGATATCATAAAAAATAGTACCACCGTTGAATTCAGTTTGACCATATCTTGCTATTACATTAGATAATGGATGCACCATTTTTCTAACAGCAACCAAACACTCTGCCTTTGCGTGAAAACCACATACCACTATTAAACATAAACTATCTATGTTAAGGTGTCCTGGTTTCGGACATTTGCTTAATTCTATCAGATAATTTGGTGTTATGAATGTATAGTTAGCCTAAAAAGTATAGTTTGCGTCAAAACTGCCTTCCTATTTTAAAAGTTTATACAAAACCAAGTAATTTATTTTAAATTTTTGGGTGAACAACCAAGATTAAATTAATTAACTGTGAAAATTACTAAACTGACTTTATTGTAATAAATTACAAAACAAGAACCGGCAGGTTACCGCGTAACTTCAGTACGGATTTAAATTTTGTTGGGGCCACCCTAATAATTATATTTATAACATTTTAATTTCAAGACTATTTTGACAATCAGTATTATTTAATTTTAAAAATTTAAGGACTACGTAACCTTACATACAATTATTTGTTTACTTACTTTATACTTATTAACAATTTCCCAGAGCTTAAGTGCCTCAAATTTTTCAACTAAAATCCGAGTATTCCCTTCATGAATCCACTTGCAAATTTCTGAAGATATCCAGTAAAGAGGTTGATAGTCTAAGAACCGACATCCATTTGAATATTGTTTTTTTAAATGAGTTATAGCTTCTATATCAGGGTCACTTGGATCGGAGCAAATAACTGACGCCAACATAGCATAATGGCTGAGACAAATAGCTTTTGGTAGTCCAGTGGCACCACTACTATAATATATTATAGCGGTATTTTTTATGTTGTCTATTTTCACTGGTTCAAAGTTTTCTTCGCCAGGTTGAAGTTTGATTATTTCGGAAAAACTAAAGCCTTCTTCGCAATCATTAAACACAATAAATTTTACACTCAATTTTATATCACATAAATATTCTTTTAAAAATGTTAAACACTTGGAATCCGTAAAAATTATCTTTGGTTCCATACTTTCCAGTATGTTTTTAATATCATTTTCTGGGTAATCAAATGCCACGCAAGTAGGAATGGCCCCAATAAAATGACTAGAAATAAAAGAAACAACACTATGAACGTGTTTTGGCCCAATAAGTGCTATGACATCATCCTTTTTAATCCCTATTTTTTGTAAAAACATTGATGTTCTTATGCATCTTTTTAACAAAGACTCGTAAGAATCATTTTCGCCAGTATTTTCTACAATCTAAAAATAATTATCACTAACCTGAAATATAATAATAATTAGGTTCTATATTTACCTGTGCTATTTTATTTTGTGAAGCATATTCTTTTATTTTGTTAAAATAATAATGTCCAATTCCTAGAAAATCATTGGTCAGAATAACATCTCCAGTTTTAATTATGTTTTGGTTCATTTTTACAGGGTAATAAAAATATTAGTAACAAAAATATGAAATTGACTTAGGTATACTAAAGAATTACAAATGACTGCGATATTTATATACCTAGGATTTAATATGATTCTTTAAATTCATAGATAATTTTTTTTTTAATATGGTAATATGTTATTTTAGGAATTAATTTATAGTTTAATGCCACGTTATAGGTAATAGGTTATTATAAGATTTGTGGTTATCATTGAAGTTTTTTCACACAAACACGTGTAAATGTTATTGACTTTTCACATTTAAACGCAACATATTTTATCATGAAGCTACGCAAAATTTACCAAAATTAACTTTTGTTTTATAGTTATACTAATTTATTTAAATTAAAATTTTGCGACTCTGGTTTACGAGGGTAACGAGGGTAGTGAGTTCCAGAAACTGTAACGAAAATTTAAGTAAAACACTTTGGTGGTGGGAATGAGTACGAGTAGGGACGCTAGTCTCTTTCTATCGTACTTTGAGTCTTCTGCGCCTGTCCGAGAAATAAAATGAACGAACAGCACATCGCCGACGTTCAATATGATTTACTATTGCGCCTGTCCTTAAGGACGTCAATTGACGTCCATTTGACAGTCCAAATGCTTAGTGGGAACAAGCCTAATACTTTTCTCTATACGTATATCTTTGTCAACCTGGTTTAAACATCATACCACCGTTGCTAAAGAAAATTGATCCGCCGCACTGTGTCGTATTTGACCTGTATAGGTGACCAAACACTGAGAAAAATGGTCTTACGTGGTTCACCCTGTACTTAGCTTCTTTTAATCCTAACTAATGGTTAAATTTATTAAAAATTATCTTTTTGTATTACAAAAAAGCATTTTCAATATGTTTTTCAACAAAAATATTTTTGGTCACCTAATCACTCTGTTTACGACATAGTTCGCCGTTGTTTAAGGAAATGGGCCCGTCGTTGCTTTTATACATTAAATTTCATCTAACTAAAAAACCAAAATATATTTGAAGGACTGACGACGGCAAGACGTTATTAAACCATCCCAAAGTATAACGGGCAAATTACACGGAGAGAAAAGTATAATGCTGATTACCATAATTATATTACCCTTTACTATAATTTATATTACTATTTGGGACAACTATCTTGTATATTGCCAGATACTATGCATATTTAGTAATTTTTAAATATCCATGTATGTTAAACCTTAAGGAAAAATATTATTATTCTCAACCAATTTTGTTTTTAATTCTTATTATAATTAGATTTTTTCCATTACTAATAAGTATAGTAAATTTTAAAATATTATGTTGGTATTTTAAATATAAAATAATTTAAAATCGAATATTATTATATGTTAACAATTAAAAATTTTAACATATTTATTAAACTTCTTAATATACAAAAATGTTATGAGAAAGACTTGAACCTACACCAGGTGTAGTACACTTCGCCAAAGATTTTGTTTTGAGTGCGTTCCATCAACTTCAAATACCGACAGACAGGTGTTTTTACCTATATTGGGTATCATCAGTGTCGACACGACACTGTCGAGCAACTTGTAGTAGTGGAACACACCCAAAACAAAGAAATATCTGAGCTTATATAACATGGTTGGTAAGCCAACAGAGGCGAGATGTAAGAACATCACGTAATCTACACCGTCAAACGACGCGTCGCGACGTGGCCTTTGCCGCAATCGGTACATACTATGCATACTTTCTTATAAGTATTACCAGTAATGGGTCAAGAAAGTTTATTAAAGAAACTAAGAAAATTGAATGTTTAAAATGTCATGAGTTACTATATGGTATATTATATTTAAATATATTGTTTATTTACCTTAAACATAAAAGTATCTTTATTTTTACTATATTTTTTATTAATGTGTAATATATTATAATATTAGATATTCACCTTACATTTGATCATAAATCATATATTTACTATACGAACATATATGTTCGTATAGTAAATATATGATATATATTAAAAATTAAAATATATATTATACATTTATGATTTAGTAATATTGGTGTGTACAATCGAATATATAATATTGTTACCCTAAACATTTCTTAAAGTAAATTTTACTATATTTTTTTTACTATCAAAAATTTACTATACATTTCTCTCCGTGTATTAATTAAATTTATATTTGCAAATTTATAAAAATAAATTTATGTGTGTAAGATCATAAACATGTAGGTAAGACGGCGCTCAAAACGATAATTTGTCGAAGGAATATTGAACATAACAATCAGTACTGCAATATACAGGGTGTCCCGAAAATAGTGTGTAATGCTCGGTTTTTAGGGCAAAAAATGGGTAAAAACTTTATATGAATATAGGTCAGGAAATGGCCCATAAGTAACCTAAAGCCTTAAAGAGGCGCCCCTGAAGATTGTTTTTTATTGTTATTTTCAAAAAGGTTTAAGATAAAATAATGTAATTTTGGGAAACTTTTTTATTATTTCTAATTAAATTTATTAAATTAAAAAAGAAAAGTAATATATTTTGTTTTAAATTTGTTTTTTACTTTTATGCGAAAATGGTGCATTGTACCGATGTTTAACAAAAGTAGAATACTCCATTTTTATATTATGCAGCCAACTTAAAAAAAAATTGCACATAAGAAAGTTGGAGCTAAAAATACAATAGGTCGTCCCTGTTTATTATATTCCAAAATAAAAAATTTAATTTTTGATTTAGTTTGTAAATATTATATAAAAAGTTAAGTAAGCATACAAAATTTTATTTTTTGTCGTTTGGTTAATAATGCGCCGATTGTATTCGCAATTGTTAATACCCAAATTGTGTATTTTTAAGCGAAAGTGAGCCTTTATGGAGTTTAGATTTAATAACTTAAATTAGGTAAGCGTACTAACTTAATTGGAACGACTTTAGGAATGTAAACGTCAGTTTTAAATTGAACGTTACTTCTTTTAATTATCTAAAAATTAATTAACAATTAGCACCACTCGACAAAAAAGTATAGTTTTTGCCACACAATAACTTCCTCAATGAATTCCTCACTTGCCTATCGGCTCGTTTGGAAACTTTTATCATCGGGAGTAATTGCTATGATTCCATGCTTGGTATACAATATACTATATTTTATCTCAATCCGAAATAATAATAAAAAACCATCTTTAGAAGCGCCTCCTTAAGAGGATGTAGCTTCCCTAGGAGACATTTGTTGACCTATGTTTATGGTTTATAGTGTTCTTCCTATTTTTATCTTAAGAAACCGCTTCCCTGCTTAAAATACCCCATAGAGACCTATACAAAATATTCTATAGGGCGCTACCGGTTTCAATATGTGCATTTGTCCAAGGTTTTTTCCGGATACAGCCCGATAGAAAATGTATAGGAAATTACCTATAGGCACACCATAACTTTTACATTTTCCCTATTGAGACCGATAGAAAATAACTCAATGAAGGATATATAGGGATATCCCTATAGAGCAACCATAAAACATTTGACAAAATTTTATTAAAACCTATGGGGTCCTATAGGGAAAAAACTAATTTCTACATTTATGTGTATTTTCCCCATTGAAACCGATAGCAAATAAATCAATGGTGGATATCCTTATAGAACAACCATAAATCTCAAATATGGGTCCTATACAAACCGATACACCCTATAGAAACACCATACATCCCGATACAAATATCTATCGGTTTGAACAGGGTCTCTATGGGGTATTTTAAGCAGGGTTAAGTATTGCACACTATTTTCGATACACTCTATGTAGTGAGTCACTATAGTTAAAAATTATCTTTTTTTATTGATAGCGGACATAAATCATTTTACGTTCGGTAGCCCGTTGAGTTTTTTTCTTTTGAAATACCTACTCTCTAAAAATAAAATAGTCAAAATTCTACTATTTGAATTAGTACCTACCCGCATTTTTGAATAATTATAAATTATTCACCATCTTTGACTATTCCTGAGAGTTAAAAGTAACTAATTTCTTTAATTGTTTGCGGCCAACAACAAAGTATTAAAGTATTAAATGATTATACCTAGACTCCATGGTTAAATGACCCATAAAAACAAATAAAGATGCAAAAAGTTTAGCTCAAAATAGAAACACAAATAATATATTCAACTTAAAAATATTATGAACAATATTTGTTGACAAATAAAATTGATTTTTATAAGAGTGACAGATTGCCGAATGGGTTATGACAATAGCTTAATAAGCTTGGCAAATGACAGACCTGAGTTCAATCCACGGCTGGGTCAAAACTTTTTTTAAATTTAAATCTACTAATTTGACTATTTCATTCAGTAGAATTTGACTAATTATTAGTGACTGCTTTTTCGCTATGACAGTCAAATATGACTTATAATTAGTTATTTTTGACTAATTCATTTTAACAGAGTACTAGGTCGCTTAAATTTAAGTTTTATTTTCGGAATCGTTTTTTTATGGCAGTCAACAAATTTTAAAATTATATGAAATTATGAAAAAAAAAACGCTTTAATTGTCATTGTATTTAAACTATTAAAAAAACTCCCAGTTAGTTTGGAACATAAATGGATTATATGTCTAAAAACAACGGAGGGCCTACGAAACCATTATCGGCTTTCCAACTTCCTACTGCCACTGTTAAATGTTTGCTGGGATTTATAACACAACAAAGTGATAAAGGATATCTTCATTGTTTATTTTACTGTGTAAATATACATAGGTAATTTAAATATTGTGGAAAAAATAAAACTATGTATGACCTATTAAGGTTCCGTCCATAAATCTCGTAACGCTGCTGGACCACCACGATTTTCACGCCCGAGAGGGGTTACGTCACGTGACAAAGTAAATCGAATAAATTGCTTATTTGTTCCATTTTTAGTCAAAATATTACAAAAAAATATTCGAAAAAAATGTTTTTAGGGGTGACGAACTACTTCGTCACATGATCCTTTAGGAGGTCTTTATATCGTTAAATTTTGACACCAGGTTTGGACTTTTATTTAAGGTAGTTGTCGTGCTGTAAGCATACCATCAGAAAATTTTAAATTTTTGTATACATATTAAGGACATGACAATACAATTA